TTCGGCATTGACCACGTGGATCAACCAGATTTCCACGAAAATGTGATGTACCAAATGCGTACTTACGAATCTGTAATTCATTTTTAACGTACCTCTTAATTTCACTTAAATGCTTATACTATAATATTAATTCTGACCATGGAATTGGATTCCTCGGAAAATTTTAGCCCGATTTCATATAAAAAAAACCTCCATACACAACAATAGGCTTCTAACGCTGCGTACCGCAACAATAGGGCTGTTTCCTCTACTTAAGTACATCCTAGCCAATTTGAAGACCAAAAACATTTTTCTGCATCCCTTAAAAATATACAAATTTCGAACAAAAACGTTAAAAATCGTAAATAATTATGAAGACGCATGGCACTGTTTGGAAAACTTCATCATAAGACATCCCTTGAACACTTTCTGATCGGTTATGACCAACATACCTAACTGAAATTTACATTTTGATATAACTTACCAGTGATTTAAATAAAAATTAATCTTTTTAATTGGTCGAACCTCTTAACGGAATCCCTTTATGAAGAGCTTTGAGTGTGTTGGTTTATTTCTTTTAAATTCCGTTATAATTGCTTATATTTTGACAGATACGCGTATTTCGTCTACTACTTGCAGACTTCATCAGTGCCAAGTACTGATGTGGTGTTGGTCCTGGGCCCACTTCAATCTTTTTTTAAACTTTTTTGTGGACAACCATGGCTTCTTAAGAGCTACTCTGCCCTTAAGACTTTTCTTATGAAGACGATTTCGTACGGATTGTGATGTCAGTTGAATGGAAAACTCGCTTTCAATCTGTTTCGCAATTTTCGGAGCTGATAGTCCCCGGTCCAGCTCCGCCATCTTCACGATAGCTCGGTCAATTCGACCAGTTGTCTTTGAAGGACGCCCTGATCGCTTAGCTGGTGAGATAGAACCACGCTTTTTGTACATCTACACAATTCTAGCGACCGTATCTTTGTGAAGCTAGACAATATCGGCAATATCACGGTAGTTTTTGCGAGTTTTGTGATGTTCAATAATCAAATTTCGCATTCTGATCGAAATTTGATCTTTTTTACGCATTTTGAAACAAATAACTTCCAATTTTGAACACAAAACTGAAATTTTAAGCAAAAAAACTTCAAGAGCACTAAATGACAGATAGACACAATGTTTACATTCGATAAAATTGCAGAATACACACTAAAACTCTGTAAAACACACTTAAATCATAATATCCGTTTGGGGGTGGATAAACTTTTTTTGCGTAATTTTTTACCATTTTTCATAATTTATCACATGAAATCTCAAAAAAAGATATAAACGCCGTATTTTCAATGGCAATGTGATAAATAAACATAAATTGATAAATCATGGAGGCATACTCATAAAATTAAACTGATTTTCACCAGAAAAATAAAAAAAAATGTTAATTGGTAGGGGGGTGGATAAACTTTTTTTGCATACTGTATACGATTTTTTTCCGTCTTTTGAACATGAGCAGTCCTTTTTACCATTCTAATAAAAACTAATGTTAAAAATTTGATAATATTATTTTTCCTTCTTTTAAAAGCTGTTTGTTCTTTTCTCCAAACAATCTACTATGCTATTAGGTTCTGCAGCGTGACGTCACGAATAAACTCAGTGCTAATCGGCTGAACCTTTTTGACATTGCTGTGGTACTGTTTACAAGCACTTAGTCATTTAAAAAAATATTTTAAAGTTTCCTAATTTTAACTTGAAAATTGTCGAGGAACAGCGCGGTGAAAGCATAAAGGTAACTCGTAAGGCTAGTAGCACAAACGAAGTGACAGACGACTAACTGGCGAAGAAATCCATTTAAATAATGTGGTTCACTGTAATAGAATTTTCTTGGAAGCTTGTGCCATCATCCACCAGATGGGTTAGTTTTTTTGTTTTGATTTGAACAAAGTTGATTTTGTGTACAATGATTATTTGACAGTGTGCAAAGAGTGCGTATCATTTTGTCATTTTTTATGCATTTCAGTTTTGAGTAGAGATAGAACCAAAACATTCTAGTACATTTGGTGAAAATGCTAGTTCAATCTAGTAGTAGCAACAATCAATACGAAACTAACGATTTTAAATGCTCACCACTTTAGTAGCCTATTGGTCCCAAGCAAACGATTAACGTACCCTATTCTAGTCGAAATTCTAGTACTACGCAATGTTTGTTTTGATTCGCTATGAAAGATTGACAGATAAAATGAGGGGTTATTGGTTTTTCCTATGTTTCGAGGGGTGATTCAACAAGCTTGGGACCGAAGATAGTACCAGAGGTGAGCCAAAAAGTTGAACACGTTTCTTCGGGACCTACTTGTCTTAGAGTTACCTCTATGGTAGTAGTGCTGCCATGTGGTACAGTCCAGTAGTAGTGGCATAGAGGTAACTCTAAGACTAGTAGGTCCCGAAGAAACGTGCTCAACTTTTTAGCTCAGCTCTGGTACTGTCTTCGGTCCCAAGCTAATCGATTCACCCCTCGAAACATAGGCAAATCCAATAACCCCTCATTTTATCTGTCAAACTTTCATAGCGAATCAAAACAAACATTGTGTAGTACTAGAATTTTGACTAGAATGGGGTACGTTAATCGATTTGCTTGGGACCAATAGGATAGTCAATTAGTAAGCCAATTTAAAATCGTTAGTTTCCACCGGTTGGTAGTGGTGTTGCCATGTGGTACACTGAAAAATTGCAATAGCAGGTTAGTCACCAAAGTTTTCGAGCCGCTCCGTCTGTCACTTCGTTTGTGCTAGTAGGTCCGGAAGAAACGTGCTTAACTTTTTGGCTCAGCTCTGGTACTATCTTCGGTCCCAAGCTTATCGATGCACCCCTCGAAACATAGGGAAATCCACGAACCCCTCATTTTATCTGTCAAACTTTCATAGATAATCAAAACAAACATAGTGTAGTACTAGAATTTCAACTAGAATGGGGTACGTTAATCGATTTGCTTGGGACCAATAGGCTAGTCAAGTAGTGAGCCAGTTTCAAATCGTTAGTTTCGTATTGATTGTTGGTGAAAGGATGTTGCTCGTGGACAATGCAGAAGTGCGGTTTACATCTCACTGCAGTCTGAAAAATTATCGAGAAAATCTACCCAAGAAAAAATCGACTAAGCCCACATAAACAGTACCACTGAACTGTCATCAGATTGAGGTTAACCCCGACGGTGCAATACCTAATTGGTCCCAGCCAAATCGATTAACGTACCCCATTCTAGTCGAAATTCATTACACTATGTTTGTGTTGATTCGCTATGAAAGTTTGACAGATAAAATTAGGGGTTCGTGGATTTTCCTATGTTTCGAGGGGTTAGCTTGGGACCGAAGAGAGTACCAGAGCTGAGCCAAAAAGTTTAGCACGTTTCTCCAGGACATTCTGGTCTTAAACGCAGGCGAGACTGAGCAGTTATAACATGTTAAAACGATTGTCAAATAATTGCAACACAGAAACCACCATCAAGATAGCGCTATAACATGTTATAACCATAGAGGTAACTCTAAGACAAGAAGGTCCCGAAGAAACGTGCCAAGCTTTTTGGCTCAGCTCTGGTACTCTCTTCGGTCCCAAGCTAATCGATTCACCCCTCGAAACATAGGAATAGCCACTAACCACTCATTTTATCTGTCAAACTTTAATAGCGAATCAAAACAAACATTGCGTGGTACTAGAATTTCGACTAGAATGGGGTACGTTAATCGTTTGCTTGGGACCAATAGGCTAGTCAATTATCGAGCCAATTTAAAATCGTTACTTTCGTATTGATTGTTGTTATAACTCTGTAGTCTGAACAAGGCATTAAACGCTGTACAAACTGGTGACATTATTATTTTAGATTCTTGTAAATCTATTTCTGGTCCCAAAAATCTATCATTTAACACGCCTTGAACAATTTGAATCCGGCCTTAATTGGTAGAGATTTACACAAATTTATCTTCTTAGTAGCTCTACTATACTGTTTTGAATCTCGATGGTTTACTGGAATAATCACAAATATTAGAATCTTAATAATACAAATAAAAATGTTCTCACCAATGAAAGCACATCATCGCACAACTCAAACGATTTCAATAATTTTAAAATTTTAAACTCTGTAATGACGACTACTTTCGACGAGTCCATTTTTCCGTTTGCGTGATGTAATTAAATAGCGGAGGCAATTTTTGAATCTAAAACCAATATCTTTGTTTCTAATGTCAATATGTTATAACTAATTATGCCCGGTATTTGAATCAAAGATTTTTTTTGATTCAACAAAAACCTTTGAATCAAAGCGTTAACATATTTGATTCTAATCTGCCGTATTTTACTGTGTGTTCTTTTTTACTATGGTGCAAAATGATGGGGAGCAAAAAAGGAGGTTAGGAATCGTGCCTTGATATATGAACTGAAAGCGATTGCCACAGGACCGAGTCTAGAGGAATTTAACGGAGTGGATTTCAGAGCCCATCAAGTATCAAATAGTTGCTGACTGTTCTTTTTTTTCAAATTGAATCAATACTGATGATATACGACAAAGAACTCATCCAAATTTCATCGTCATATCCCATTTGGTCTAATGGTTTTCGGTCTTATGGCGTTTAGCAGTGGCGTCGCCGTTACCTCAATCGATCTGTTACAACAACTCTCAAAACGATGCAAAACCTATATGGATATAAAACAGTAAAACTATTATATAATTCTGTGTATTTTGCTAACGTTTTGAGTATAAATATGGCTATAAATCAGGTTTTCAAAGTTGTTTATTAGGGGTGATGCATATGTTATGTCGTACTCTAAGGGGGGAGAGGGAGTTTATGATTTTGTGACAAGCAATGTATAAGGAAAACATGACAGAGGGGGGGGGGGGGGAGTTTGGGGTTAATTTTTCCTCAATTTGGCGTGACATAATAAATGGATCGCCCTTTAGTACAATTCGGCCCAATGACCCACTTCAAATCATGCTCTTCTGTAGGTTTCTTTTAGTTCTATAAACATATAGAAAGTTCCATCTCGTGAGTTTCGCATTTATTTCGTTTTATCATCAAAATTCCTATGTACATGTTCATTCTGTCTCAATCATATGGACATCTTGTCCTAGAATGGTTCAAAACCATTCCCTGTCTAATTTTTATAATTTTAGTTTTTAGTTTTCTGCTATCCTCTACATTAGTACATGTATGCGTGTAAAAATTTGTATATGTTTTATTTTGAAGATTTATTTTCTTCGCTAAAGAGAAAATTGAACAAAGAAAAATCGTAATTTAATTCACTTAAACACTCTCTAACGTTTTAGTTTTTTTTTATCTAAATCCTACACCCTTTCGAACACTGCCATCACATACACATACATTCATAAGTTTCATGATTGAGATGAAAACGTGATGCAAAACTCAATAATAGGCATAATAATTTCCGCATACAAAAACAAACAAAAATAGGGAAAAAATAAATCTATCTATTCTAACGTTACACATGGTATAGGATTGGCGTATATTATACCCTAAAGCAAAAGATGAACAAACAAATGGAAGTAAAATGTTTCATACTCTTAAGGTGAAAGGGAACGTCATTAATGTTCAAAAATTCAAAAGCAGTTTTTTCGTTCAAAACCAAAATTACGTTCATTTACAGAATTTCGGTTTTAAACGAAAAAACTGCTTTTGAATTAAAAAATAATAATAACGTCCCCTTCCCTTCTAATGAGCTAACGAATATGAATATGTGATGGACGATTTACCACACCATATCAATAGCATATTTTCAACAGTAAAACATATCAGTACGAAATGTGTTATTTATTCCTCTCGCCGCACTCATTCCTGTCGAGTTTTATAATTGAACCTTTTCGTTTCCATTTTCAATGTGGCCGCAGCCGATAAGATTGATACTCCTTTTATAATAGTACATGTAGGTATATTTAGATGATCTTGATTTCATTAAAGTCGCAAACTTTTCGTCGAATTTGTTGGAAGTGAACGAAAGGAAATTATCTGATCGAGGGCTGGCCGCCCCTCGTTCCTAAAACTGTAACGAAACTGCTCAGGTAGTTCCGGTGGAACGATGAAAACTGGAACCCATTTTCGAAGACTGCTGCTTTCTCTATAATTGTCGTAAACTTGACTATTGAATGTTTCGTGATTGGTAATGGATAATTATGCAGTGAGATTTTTAACGAAAACAACAAAAAACTGTATCTAAATAATCTTTTGTCTATATATATATATATAAATATATGAATCTATAGTGTTCACTCCGTCGTGTACAGTGTGGTTTTCATCAGTTCAGTTCCTTGCACATTCCGGCGACGGAGTTTTCGCGCATTCGTGTTGCTGTCCAACCGGTTAGAAGTAGATCAACTTCGCATCTTGTGGACACTGCTCCATCGGGCAGTAGGGACACTTTAATCTGAAAGTATTGTTCATTCTGAACATTAGATCAACCAATTTTCGTGACACGTGATCCGGTGATTTTTTTTTTAATTGCATTGTTTCGTTATGGTAAGCACATTTTGTACACAGCGCATTTGGAAGAAGCGAAGATGGTCATGTGTGGCGGCATGCAGGAGAAACAAGAGACCGTTGAAAAAAGAAAGAGAAAAAACAAAGAAACGGAAGCCAAAATTAGATGACTTATTGAAATATGATTGCGCTGTGGTTTTTAAGTTAATGTTAGTTAAGTTATCCTTCCATTACAAAATGACTTACCGATATGAAATAAATATAGTGTTATACTACCAACATCACATACCTATATCTTAAGCGCTGTACACACCTTGCAATTAGCTGCTTGCCATAAGTTGCATGCACATTTTTAACAAGGCAGTTGAACAATGTTTTATTTAACTCTTTCTAGCATACAACCAAGTCGCAGTGTTTGTACAGCGTTTGAGAGATAACAGCATGCAGAAACGAAATTCAACCTCTACTTAATAGGATAATTCCTATCATAAGAAACATACCAAAGGCTTTCATTGTTTACCGAATGTTGAATCAAATAATATAATAACTTCTTGCACTTACTAATCTAACAATAAAAGTTGGTTGGAAATGTTATGCTATATTTAGTGTGACGATTTATTAACTAGAGAAAGTTCTGAAGAGGATAGGTTGGTAGTTCCGCTAGAGTACGGCAGTATGAAAATTTAATAGAAGTTTAAATTGAGCGAAGGGCCATTAATGCGACAGTACTAGCAACAATCAATACGAAACTAACGATTTTAAATTGGCTCACCACTTTAGTAGCCTATTGGTCCCAAGCAAACGATTAACGTACCCTATTCTAGTCGAAATTCTAGTACTACGCAATGTTTGTTTTGATTCGCTATGAAAGTTTGACAGATAAAATGAAAGGTTATTGGTTTTTCCTATGTTTCGAGGGGTGAATCGATTAGCTTGGGACCGAAGAGAGTACCAGAGCTGAGCCAAAAAGTTGAGCACGTTATTTCGGGACCTTCTAGTCTTAGAGTTACCTCTATGGTACTAGTCAAATGTACAATCCTTTACCTAACTCGTACATTAATGGATGAGGGGACTTGAAGTTTTTCTTCAAATCCTCAGGCAAAAGAGTGCGCGATTGACTTATTCATATACTGTCTGCGACTGTGAAATAGTTCTAGTGACAGCTAGAACGCAACACCACCCTACCCATTAGACTGATGCAAAATTTGACTTTTTCGCTCCACAGTGCTTAAATGGTTTCAAATCGGGTCCTGATTAGCCTCCCAAAGTTACAACTCATTTGGTTAGAAACAGACTTCGCACAAGCCATTTGAAGTTTACATGTAAATAACTATGGGAAATCTCAACTTTTTGTTCATTGCCTTCTAGTCTTTTTTCCATATTGAGCTGCGAAACAGTTCGATAGTCATTCTTATAGAAAATTTTCTCAACTACAACTTTGCTGAAGATCGTTTTTATGTAAAACGAGACAGGAAAAAGTTATTAATTATTTAAGATATTGGTAAACTTATGACACGATCAAGCAGCTGCTCTGTAGGCAACACTGTATTTTGCAGTGTGACATAGTAGCCATGATTTTTGTGTCCTATTCAACGCCCCAGAAACACCAATGTTGCCTGCTGAGCAGTTGATTGAGCATGATCGTAAGACATCAGCGCATTGAACCATTGATAACTTTCGATCCTTGCATTTAATCAAAAAGTTGTAGCTGGGAAAATTTCCTACAAGTACAGTTGAAAATTTTTGAAGCAGACCGATATGGTGAATTATTAGATAGACATGAACAAAAATCTTGGTTTTACCATAGTAATTCCCATACAAACTTCAAATGGTTTGTGCCATCTCAGATTCTCACCAAAGGGGTTCAAATTTTGAGAGGTTAGTCAGGATCCGATTTGGAATCGTTTAAGTATTGTGGAGTGAAAAAGTCAAATTTTGCATCAGTCTACTACCCATAGAGGTAACTCTAAGACTAGAAGGTCCCGAAGAAACGTGTTCAACTTTTTGGCTCAGCTTTGGTACTATATTCGGTCCCAAGCTAATCGATGCACCCCTCGAAACATAGGAAAATCCACGAATCCCTCATTCCATCTGTCAAACTTTCATAGCGAATCAAAACAAGCATAGTGTAGTACTAGAATTTAGACTAGAATGGGGTACGTTAAAAAATTCAAAACATCGGCCCTGCCTCAAGCATTATGGTCTAGCTTTGGTATGAAATTTTCCAATCAGCGGCCCTTCTACGCCACTAGACTTATCAATGAAATTAAAATTTAATAAATGAATGGTTGGCCGTTTTAGCGTGCGGGCCTATTAACATAGAGGCAACTCTAAGACCACTGGGTCCCGAAGAAAATCATTATTATTATTGGCTCACTCAGTACCAGAACAACGGTCCCAAGCAGTCCCAAGCTATTTCACTCACCCCTGCATGTTCTGCATGAATCCACACACCCCTGATGTTATCTGTCAAACTTTCATAGCGAATCAAAACAAACATAGTGTAGTAATAGAATTTCAACTAGAATAGGGTACGTTAATCGTTTGCTTGGGACCAATAGGCTACTAAACTGGTGAGCCAATTTAAAATCGTTAGTTTCGTATTGATTGTTGCTATTAATGAATCGAAAAATTTCGTTGATCGGCCGCTTCGAAAATCGAGCTATTTTTAATGATTTTTCTCGATTATGCGGAACTTTCCTACACGGTTAGTAGCTATCAAGCGGTGCTAAAGAATGGTATCACAACCCGTTTTCTTTACGTTTTGGACATAGACCCATTTCAAATGTTACTCGAGAATTGCATTGTCACACAACCAGTGGCGTCGCGTCCACATGTGCAACCTGTGCACGACACAGGTGTAAACAATTAAACAAAATGCGTTTAGATTTTTATAGATTTTATGGTCACATTATAGCTGTACTTCTTTACTCCATACCACAAAAAGGGTTAAATTCATTTGTGATGGTCTGCCTAATCTCTAATGCATTGATTTCTAAGCATGTCGATATTGTTTGCTGGAAGAGATATCACTACCATGACAAAACTCGTTAAATAGTGGGCTCTTTTGGGTGGCTTGTGGCAAGTTTGTGAATGGCCAAATGCCTGATGTAAGCCAAAAAGACCTTACATCACCTCTTGAAACATACCACACACCACTGGTTGTAATTCAAGCTTTCAGCAGTCACGCATCAAACGGGAGCAACACGGAAACAGCAGTCTGGTACGCTTTGGACGTTATCATACTTGCAGACCGGTTTGAATGTGTGAGTTTAAATTAGAAGAACATTTGTGATGTATGGGTGCCCGAAGTGTGCATTTCTCGCTATGCACTTGGATATCTGATTGCAGACATAGAGAGTAATGGAGAAAGAGAGCGCAAAAGCCGGCTCTCACTCTCTTGTCAGTTGTGAATCTCTCAATTACCGATAGTTGCGCCGGTGCGCCTGTCAAAACTTATGAGCTTCCCCTGGTTCATTCTGATAGTGTTGTTCTGATGAATAAAGAGTTGATTAATTCAAGTTCGCTACCCAGGGGACTATGAATTTTGTTTTGTATCAAAAAATGTTTTCGGAAGTGTTTGACGGATATTCTTTATTACACTTCAGTCAAAAGAGTTAGCCTTTTGATAAAAACGAGAATTCAAGCTAAACATTGCATTAGGTCCTAAGTAACATTGACAGATTCTCTCCGTCGACATTCTCTTTGTATCTCCACGGCCATGTAAATACATTGCCAAGTATTTTCAGCAAACAGATCGATAAAAGAAGCTTTTATCTAGCATCTAAAACGACAAACACAACAAGAAATGGTTATGTGCTCAAGTTATTAACGAAATAGAAAGTCGACGAAGAGAATCGATCAATATTACTTAGAACCTAATGCAATGTTCAGCTGGAATTAGTAAAGTTTTGCAATTCCTCCTACTTCGGTTAGCGCGAAAAGGGCCATACAAGTTTTGTTTATACAAGATGATAGGTTCTTCAAATGTTACGTTAGGTAGTGATTAATATAGTGATGGAGAATATGTCCCTCGAATTCATGGAGCATTGAAAAATAAAACCAAAAACTAACATGTGGTAAACTATAACGAACAAAGCTTGGTGCACAGGTAAACAAATGAGGCACGCGACGATTGCTGTCCTCCAGCCCAACACGGAACAAGTGAGCGTTTAACGAGTAGTGATTGGACATGAGGCGAGACATCATACGAATGAAGTCTCGACCCACATCCAACCCCTTGAACCAAGGACTCTTCGACACCTTAGGGATGGTCGAATATAGCCATCGTCCCAAACTCCCTTCACTCCACTTATTCTGCCAGCTGACGAGTGACTGTTGACGGTAAATGAAGAAAAATTCATCGTAGGCGATTTGTCGATCGTAAATATCGCCTTCCATAGCGCCCACCTTAGCAAGTGAGTCCGCCATCTCATTGCCCGGAATCGAGCAATGAGATGGGACCCATGCAAAGGTGATGACAAAAGATCTTAAAGATAAAGCACTTAAAAGCTCTCGTATTTTCATGAGAAAATACGAGGAGTGCTTTACCGGCCTCATGGAGCGAATAGCCTCGACAGAACTGAGACTATCCGTAAAAATAAAGTAGTGATCTGGTGGAAGTGAGGCGATCGTTTCTAGCGTATAGTATATTGCCGCCAGCTCAGCAACATATACGGAACAAGGAGCTTGAAGCATTCGAGAGGCGCTATGAATCAGTCCGCATCGTGCTCTCTTGCCGTGCGGATCTATTTGCTTTTTGCTGAAGGAAGTGTTACTACTACCTAAAGCTACAACAAATTTAAACAGCACTTTTCAGTGCTCAACCTGTAAAAATTTTCTACCTTGTTCCAACTCTTATTCCTCTTCGATCCTTGTTTGGACCCTACCCGAGGTAATCCTTCTTGGATATCGATTTGGAAAATTCCTCTTCGATCCTTCAGATTCTTATAGTAATCTGCTTGG